CTGGTGTCTTACCCCTACAACTAAAAAAGATGTCCTACTTACCTGAGGTAGAACTAACATATTTACCGTTCAGGTGGATCCACTAGCTAAATACCTATGTGGCACATTGTTATTGGATAAGGAGATTACTACTAGAAACCTGAGCTTTCTTACGTAAAAAATTTCTATATCATGAGATATCTTCCTTAGTAAGCCCAACTTTTGAACTTAAAGATTCCATGTCATATTCATATCCATTTGGTGCTAAGCATAATTCCCTTTAAAGATTCATATTATGTCTTTATTTAAGTTCATGTTCAAGTAAGAATACCCAGGCACTCAAACTAACATGGTATAATAATAGCTCATAGATTCATTAGATATGAATGTCCTTTTAACCTTAGAATATTCAACATGTGAGTAGGCCTTTCATATGTTATTCATAGTGTGTTCATGAGAATAGCCTTTTATTCAATACAAAAATACTATCATATTCTTAAACATATATTACATATTCATGTGTAAGTGTTGGGGGAGATTATATTTTAATCAATACCACAACTACGCAATAATCATAGGATCTTCATTATCTAAGTGAATCATGAGTTCATATGCAACCCTCATCAATCATGTATAAACTATAACAAGTTGCCATCCAAGGCTATAAATCAAGATAAACCCTAAATTCTAATATTACAACATTAGATAGAGGGACACCATGATTCACCAACATAATCAATTGTCAAACTTCCATAGTCAATCAAGCCATACCATAGTTCACAATTTAGAATGATGGGGAATCATGGGTATAAGGGACATTTTTATCATAATAGAAAAATAATCCATAATTCCAATCATAAATCAGTATAATACACCATAATAAACCATAACTAAACTATTGAAATCATTTTGAAACAAGACCCATGAAATAGATTCAAACCCAATGTTTTGGGGGGATTAGATGTCTTAAAAACATAGTTTGCATAGGCTCTTTGGGTAATACCTTCCAAAATATTAAAATCATACATACCTTCAGTTGATTTCCACACTAAATTGGAGAAGAAAGGTTGTTTCTTGAACCTCTAACTCGCCCTTGACCTTCCTCTTCAATGGATTCCTAGAGAGAGAATGTTTGGAGCGGAGAGATAGTTCCTAATTTGGGTGTTGTGAGTTATGAGGTGTTAAAGAAGTTATTAATAGTTAATGACTACTTATATATGTATAATTAACTAATATAAACCATGCCCATCCTTTAATAATTAAAATAAAATTCACTTAAAACACCGCACACTTGCTGAGAACTTGGCAGTTTTACAGATCCCGTCCACGACCCCCACCCACGAGGCATGGATGGAACCAGGGAATGTACTAGTAAATTTTGGTTTTGGTATGAGTATGTCATCTTTGTCAAGGTTCATGCTTCACTGACGAGACCCCACCCACATGGCATGAATGGGTCTACAAGTCGTACTACATTCTCATGGTTTGGTGCTGCAACTTGAAGATTAGGGGAAGATCTAGACTTGAATCACGACCCCCACCTATGGGGTGTGAGTCCATCCAAGGGGTGTGGGTTTCCCTTTCGTGGTTCATGATGTCCTTGACAACTTTTTAGGAAGTCCATTGGTCCTCTTCAAAGACCCTTGGCGGTCCTTCGGAGGCCATGACTTGACATTTAAGGACTAAAACATTATAACTAACTAAGGCAGTCATTTTAGGACCCTAACCTTTGTGTTTAAATCCATTTAGGCTATCAGACTACATGTTAGGCTCTAGCTTACTTCATCAGATTTTGGGGGTGTTACACTTAGACAGCATTTTTGGGGTGGATATTACCTTCAAACAACAATTTTCACATTTGATCTATCATTCCAACACATATCCACACTAGTTACATACATACATCACTCTGAATCACCAAATTACGATGTCTAGAGCTCTTCAAATTGCATTTTAAAATTTAGGAAGAAGGCTGAAATTCTGAGATTTATAACTTAGCACTTTTGTCCCCAAAGTCATTTCCTATTACTAAAATCCTATTTCATCATTGATAATGGTCTCCATCACAAAAAAGAGGTTTTACTATTTGACAAAAACTCAATAGGACCTCCGAGAATCATTCGAGACTTGATAAAATAAAACAGATAAGACCTATGTTTGACTTCACTCAACATTCTGAGTTAAAAAGATTGGATGATAATTCCATATAACAATTATATCTAGAATGTTAAACTTTGTCTAAAGAAACTTTCGCTTTGATCCTGAGACTTTAAAGCTATTTTTGATCCCTTTATGGATTATGGCTTAAAACAAAGTTTAGCGGGTAAGACCCACTTTTTATCGAGATGACCTTGTATGGGAATTTTGACTGCTCCTTTGCGTGCAAAAATATTATAGGTTGTTGGGATTGCCTATCTCATTTACGTGCACTTAGTTCAGATAAAATTTAAAACTCCCCATCAGAGATCTAGAACTTGCCAAACCAGCTGAAATGAAAAAGCTTATGATGGCCAAATTTGCCTTTCACGTTAGCGAGCTCTTAGTCGTGTTCATGGATTTTAGGTGAACTGAGGGCCATGATCACTTCGTTTTCATTCGTGGTACCCCTGGCGTAATTGTGGGAAGTCAATTGGTCTCTAGGTGCATTTTATAACCCTCGCAACGTTTGCAGAGGCTTGTCGTGTTTGCAATGAAAAATCACATACACACTTTAATAAGAAATACAGGCAAAATATCTTTGTTTCAAATATTGAATTTGCAATTTCTTGTTCATTTTAAGTATAATTGAGTAATTCAAAGTGTTGTGTGATCGTTCAGTTTATTTGAGGTGAATTTGAGTGTGTTTAGGCTTCCTTATCTTGGATTTCTCGATAAAAATTACATAGTTGTTGTGTTGGATATTTTAGGTCTCATTTTATGTTCATCTTTGGAACACAAGTTGAGGCATAGTTTAAGACCTCTTGACAGAGTCAATTCTGGAAATTTCGGTACGGGTCCCACAATCTCATTTGACTCCAAAATTGGTACATTTTCATTTTATGTGATTTTTGTTTTTTAATGTTCATACTAACATTGTGATCATATTCTTGATAGTGTGGTAGTGTTCAAAGGTCGTTTGTAAAGGAAAATCTCTATCATTGTGATTTAGAGCGTGCACGCTTTTCCTACCTGTAGGCTTTTGTTTCCTTTCTGTTTAGATGGAACTTGAAAGTGAATTTTTGACGATCAGTATGAATTGGAGGCGGGTTCCTAGTAAATATTTCTTATCTTCTTAAAACCTATATTTTAGGATTGATCAACACTGTTTCGAGTGTACTACCATGATAGTTGGGTTTGTACATGTATTGTTTTATAATGTGTGAATTACTTGTGCTATTACTTAATTTCTGAATCATGTTTGGACTTTGTCTAGGATAGAATATTGTTGCTTTAGACTCTTGAGATTTGTAGATTTGGTATGTATTCAACGTCATTTTGGACATACTAGGTCCTTGTAGACTAGATAATAGACTTGGTTTTGATAGTTTGAGCCTTAGTCTAGGCGTTTCAACAACTTCTTAGACCTTTTATATTCGCTCTATATATATTCCTCTCTAATCTATTATCGAAGTTTCTCCGATTTGTCATAAATTTGCTACTTTAGGCATGGAGTCTTTTGTGATCATTTTATAATGGATGACGATCCACGGTGTCTTGGAGCCTACTTCAAATCCTTTTCTGAGTCGATATGCCCTAGGGTCACTCTTTCTAGTTGGGTAGCTTACCCCCCTAGGAAGGGACTATTGGCTGGGTGGCCTTATCTAAGACCTGCTTTGGAGTCAACACACCCCCAGGTCACTCTTTCTGAATTGGTTTGGAGTGGACAATGTTATTTTAGTGGAGTAACTACTAGATTGTTACTTTTGCTAGCTGGGCTGGGAGTTTACTAGAGTTAATGGTTACATAAGCGGGACGGGGTGCTTTTTGCTCATGGTACTCTTTCCTCAGGAGACTTAGTTATTTTTTTTGTACCTATCAGGCTTATGGGGGTCATTCCAGTTTAATGTAAATTTACGCACAAGTGTACCTTCTGGGAATTTGGAGTTAAATTAAATTTTTTTAAGTGTACTTAAAATTACTTTTAGAATGGTCGTAAGCTTTCTTTTGATACCCGCTTTAACCTATTTGTCCCTTTAGATTCCATCTTTTTTCAAATTGTTTTTACCTTTCCTGCTTAGTCGGCCTATAATGCCTACTGAGAACCTCTGTTTTGGTACTTATGCTATACTTTTCATCTTATCTTTATGTATGTCAAAGTACCATCTATGGATAGTGATCGTTTTTGCCATTTTTTGTAGTTTGGGGATATCAGAGATTAGGCAGAGTACTTGGCACCCTAAATCAACCTGTCTCCTTCTATACTTATAATAGCTAGTCCTTTTCCCTTGAGACAGCTTATCATTGTCCAATTTTAGGACGTGTATTTATTCATATTATATAGCTTTACACTTGTGACATACATGTTCTTGGAGGGTTTCTAGTGTATATAATTTTTTATTTGCTTCCTCTACATTTTCTTATTTTTAGTGTTATTTTCTAGTTAATTCTGTCCTACTACCATTACTTGTATTGGGTAAGGATTGTTCTACTTACAGGCTGATTATAGTATGCATGACTCGAGAAGTCGAATCGTGGCATCACATTTCATGTTAAGTTTAGAATATACTTGATCAATTTTAATTAAATAATAATAATATATATCAAAGTAAATATTTAATATTTGTTGGTTTAATGTGAATACACTTAAAAATAATTCCCTAAAAGCAACTATCAGTCAAACTATAGTTGCAGCTAAAATTATCAGTTTGACTGTCATTATGTTTTTATTCCTAAAATAACTACTAGTCAAACTTCAATATTACAAAAATCATATTCCTTCTACCCCCACCCCAACTATCTATATTTATCTCTTCTTACAAGTTTTTATCAAGTAAATGCAAGACCCTATTATCCCATTTACTATATATCGTTGGTTTTATATAATGGAAAAATTGAAGAAAACAAGGATGATCAAGCGTCAATGGAATCCTAAAGAGGAAGAACTATTGCATAAGCTAGTGAAGGAACTTGGAGCAGAGAACTTGTCTCTTATTGTCCAATTGATGTCGAGTCAATATGAAAAATCATGTAGGTTTCATCGGCTTAAGCAGTTAAATCCTCAAGTGGATCATCAACCTTTTACTTTTGAAGAAGATAATACTATTATCAGAGCTCACGCCAAATTAGGTAATCGATGGGCTAAGATAGCTCGTTTGTTACCAGGTCGAACAGATAATGCGATAAAAAATCATTGGAATTCCTCCCTTAAACGGAAGCACCATTCGATGTTAGAAGATTTGACATTGGAAAGTCCTCAACCTCCATTGAAGAAATCATTGAGTATCGGGGAGGGCCAAAATCTAGGTATTCCATATAGATCTGAATTAAGCAATTTTGGTTTTGATAGGTTCCCTCCATTTTGTTTGTATCTGCACATTGCCCCATTCGGTCGAATTTTACCCTTTTCAATTTGCACCTATAATAACCGATCCATTTGTATCTTTGAGTCAATCTAGGACTCATTTAAGCAATTTGGGTTTATCTAGGTACCCTCAGTTGAGTTTTATCTAGGTTCCCTCAATTGAGTCTTTATCCTCCAGCTACACTAGGTGAAATTTTGCTTCTTTTATCAATTTCACAAGTAATGCCTCAACAATCAACATCTCTTAGTCGTGTGAATCTAATATGAACAATATGGGTTTATCTAGGTTACCTCAGTTGAGCCTATATTTGCCTACTTCCCCACTAGCTAGCTGAAATTTTGACTTTTATATCATCTGCGGTAGTAGAGTCTGATCCATGAACAAATCTGAGTCTCTCTTTACCTGGATTCAGATCTACCAAGTATTTGAATCCAGTGAGTCGAATCGAGCAAATAGGTGAACCAACAACTATATCAGCATCTAAGCCCACTTAATCAAATTTTATGGTCCAAATTTCAATAATTCAGAGTGGAAATGTTGGTCACGAGTACAGAGAAATAGTTTTTGAGCCCAATTTTTTTGATAGATTTGCAAGACATGATACAAAAAGAAGTTAAAAGTTATATGTCAGAGCTTGAGAATGAAAGAGTTTCAATGAACCACAGAAGCAATAAGGGATTCTATTGTTAACAACATTTGCGTTAGCAAAGATTAAGTAGATATGAGTAAGGAAAGTGAAGAATCAAGATATCATAGTTATTATTTTCTTTAATCATTCGTTGATGTTTTTTAGTGTCTCATTAGAATTCTTTAGGATTGTCGGTCTAAATAAAGAGAAGATATATATATATATATATATATTTATCCAAGTGTATGGAAGCCCTAATAAACCTCACCCTCAACCGCATCCATCCCGCCACACCAAAAAGTAGAAAGAAAATAGAATTGAATATGAATTTTCAATTATTTTTTTTAAATCAATCATCTTAAATTTGAAAGTCTTGTTATTAATATAGTTTTTCCTTTGATCCTTTTTATATTTAAATTTAACCATCAAAATCATCATTTTAGGTTTTTTGATAAACTAAATGTTATTTGAGGTGGTATGAAAAACAAAACTAATAAGTGGTTTGTTTGTTTGTTTGTTCTCGAGTGAAAACCATATTAAAATTTATGTTGTATTTTTAAATTTAGAAATAATGTAACTTTAAGGTTTTTTTTATTAAAACACCGTTAAAATGATCAACAGTCACACACTACTGTTAATACCTAATTAAGTTTAATATATTATATAACACAAATACAAATATATTTATTGAGTTATTTTAATAAGTAATTAAAAATACAATAAATATTAATTATAACCTAAAAGGAAGTTAAGTTAGTAGCTAACATAAAGTAAAGGCAAAAAAATAGTTATTTTGATAAATAGTTAAATGGACTATAAATATTAATTCTTCTTCTTGCATGTTACTTAATTCTCAAGTTCTATCTGATTTATAGATCATTTGATCATACTGAAGGTACAAGGAGATCATTCTCAAACTGTTGTTAATGAATGAGACTCATTTTATTAGGATGCTTAGCTTGATTTTGAAGGGCGTACAACTAATTTTGTAATGGAGAGATGGTCGATCCATAATTAACTACACTTTTTTTGTGACACCATATATCAAACATACTAGTAGCACATGATTTATGCATCATTCTTTAAATAATTAGATAATCATGGATCAAAATAATTTTTTAGTGTGCTTTTTATTTGAAGCTTCATACGGTTATTCTTGACATTTTTAAAGTCAGTGTAATACTACCCCCGCATATTATAACTAACGAAGCTCGAGCAATGGCCATTTCCATTAGAGAAATCATGTCGAGCATTAGACAAATTGTGCCAAGGATACATACTTCTCAATGCCCCCATCTCATACGAATTCACTCGAAAATGAAAAAGATTCTTTGTTTTGGTAATAAATGCATTTTTTAAAATCTAATTTTATGTAAAGAAACATGAAATATGATGCTCAAAATATACAATATTGAAGAACACGGTTGGTTGAATAATTCGTATAATACTCAACACATGTGATTAACAACTATTAATGATCATGTGTTTAGTACTAGATTTAAAAATATATATCAAAGTACTAATCGTATATTAAAAGAATTTAGACATTCAAGCATGGTAAAGCTCCAAAAAGTTTGAAGTCCATATCAGACCATGAAAAGTTCCCAAAACAGTCCATATCAGACCTTGAAAAGTATAGAATTTTTCGATGTTTTAGGACACCATATAAAGGACATAAAAGGAACCACAAATAATACATTAGATCCATAAAAGAAATTCAGAGAATTTAAGAATTTGATATGAGAATTATGACTATTGTTTGTAGGTCATAAAAGGTTTTATAGACCATATACGAGATTCATATATAAAAGTTAGAAACACGAAATCTTCCTTGAGCTTAAAGGGCATGGTATATGGGTCGTAGAATATTTATAGATAGCAATTTGGTCCGGTGATCAAAGTTTGTAACTCAGAAGTTATCGTGATTCTTAAGGATACATTTGCTCGTAGATTAATCTATAGATTCTAATGTAATGACCTTACACGGTAGTGAGTACGACAACAGTGAAGAGTTTGGCCAAAAAACTTTTTGAGTGGATTATTTTATTTTGGTTAGGTCTACCTTATATGGAATTGGGATAAGTGAGGTTTAGGACCATAGTACAATAGATGTGGTGCAATGTTGATGTTTTGTTGAGATATACTTGTATCTAAGACATTAAGGAGTACATAGGGGCTTTTAGAATCAAATTTGGTGGGTAGAACTCCCATAATTGATATTGGTGTTAAAGGTATGTGTTGGGACATCAAAGGAAGTGGTTGTGTTGTCAAAAAAATGTTTTTTTAGACTATTGAGACTCTAATGTTACGTTAAGATATCTATAGCAGGAAGAATATCGCTATAGCAATGCTTAGACTTCTATATCGGGGCAAAATGGGTTTCAGTGCTGAAGCAGCCCCTAAACCCCTAATTTTTGTCGTTTGAGTTCTTAGACTTGGGAGGGGAATTTTTGGTTGTTTGTAATTAAATTTCCATGAAATCATCAGTATAGGTAAGAATATTACTCCCCAACCTATTACATTGATTATTATGTCATATAATCTAGGTTATTGAGGGTTTTGACATGATTCCATGGAGAAAAATCTCTGTAAGTTAGGAAGTTCATCATACTTTGGCCTGGGTTTAGTATTGGGTTGTATTTTAGGAGTTATTAGGTCCTTTTTTCATTAAATGTTGTGTTTCATTTGTGATTTTATACAAAGAACAATCTAAAGCTTTACAAAGGATTCAAAATTTATGATCGAACTTCTGTCAATAGAAGTTCGGCCCCAAAGTTGGCAAGGTTTTATTAACTGAGTAGTTAGATATGTTTTCTACTTTCATGATATTTGGTAGATTGACAGGAGGTTTCATGCCTAGGCGATCGGACAAGGAGTCTGATAGTTAAAGGTTGTTTTTTGTTGTTGTTCAGATGGAAAAATATAATTACCAAGGTTGGCTCTCTAGTTCGTGATTGTTCATCTTGATTTTCCTTGTTGGGGTTATTCGGTGTTCATTGTTAGGTTAAGTGTTATGAAATTGATTATTTATAGCCATTTCTAGGACTTGTGTTACTTAAAGGAAAAAATGTATGTTCATAAAAAGGGGTAAAATGTTGTGATATTGGTATACACATATAGGTGATGGTTGTATATTTTTCAGTTTATGTATTTATGCATTTCTACTACTTAGTAGTTTCACTTGTACAATGCATAATGATGCCTATCAATATGTGTTGGTTGTACTGCTACTAATCCTGCTATGTCACATAACATAGTATGGTTGCTAGAATTCAATTATATTTCATAGGTTATGATGATATTGATATCCAATAGCTTCCGCTCCTATTTCCTTATGATAGGATTACGTCTCATTTCTTTCATAATTGCACTCTCATAAGCTCGTATACATATTTAAACTAGTCCTTTAGGGGTGTTAGTATGTCTCTAGTTATTGTCATTTCATAATCATATAGGGTGTAAGATGATGTTGTATTTATTTTCTATCTTGCCCAAATTATGTTATGGTAGAGGATTATCATATCTAAGTGTTAAAGTATGTGCCTGCATGGCTTGGGTGGGTAGGTCATGAAAAAATTGGTATCACAACCTAGGTTACAAATATCCAAATACAAGAGAATATGTTGAATAGAGTCTTGTGGTATGGGTTGATCCCAATTAATATATTTGCATTCTAATTAGGTTCTTAATGAATTAGTGTGATTGTAGTAGTTGCAGCTGATGGTGCAAAATCAAGGGAAGATTGGAACTAGAATGTTTTAATTGGTATCTAGCCTTAGGGGGTCAAATGAATGCATGGATGATCAATTAATGTTCATATCTTATGTGAGAAGGTTTCCATGAATTTGATTAAAGTAATGATGAAAGCTTAATGATTTTTACTCTTTGTCTTGTATTGTACTGCTTAATTAAATGCAAATGTGTGAGGTTTATTTTCATGAATTATTAAAGTTCTGTTAGAGGTAATTCCTTGTAGTTTTGTGATATTATGGACAAGAAAACTTCTTGACTTAATTATGTGTGATGAACTAATGATAAATATATATGTGCTTTATTGACTGTGTTTTGGTATAGTCCAATCCTAAATCATTATGGAAATGAGGCAAAGTCTTCATTGTACATGGTATTCTTAAAACTAAATGGGCTTTTACTATTGGTAAATATGGAAAGGTGGAAAAGGATTGGTTATGACTGTGGGTAAACTTGACTTTGAGATTGTCAACATGGTTAGGAAGCATGAAGTTACTCTAGAATAATAGAGGGTATATGACAATACGAATTGTGTTTTTGATGTTGCAGAAATTTTATAACATCCGCCTTAAAAAGAACTAGAATTTGTAAGAACTGTTTTGGAAAGAGTAAATTTGGAAATTTTGGCAAGTTATGGTAAGTATGAGTTTTGGATCAACTCCAAACGACTATATATTTCAGTACATAATAATTTAGGTAGCCCATAAGATATCAAATGAAAGGTCATGGAATTTCGAGCTCATATGAGGGACATATGCCCGTCTTTAGTCGAACAATCTAGTTATGTAAAGTTACCCAGATATAAAAGGGTATTTTCTTTTTTATCATTACCTAGTAAACTTAACAAAAAATTTGTAATATTAAGGGGTCTATAATAATTTGGTTCAATTTTGAAAATCCAAATTTACTCTATGTTTTTTAGATAAGCTCAAGAAAAGGAGAAAAACTAAAGCATACCTCAAGTTCTTGAGGATTTTGTTGCAGATTTAACTAACTGTCGATCCTTAAGAGGTATGTGAGTTCACATAACGTTGGGTTCATTCAAACTCACCAATTAAGAGTAATTCAGAGTAATTTCATTCTTGAAAATAAAAGACTTGTGTTCTTCGTGAGTCT